TTTAATGGAAATTCCCATATGTTCATAGGCTCTGACTTTTAAATGGCGTTTTTTTTTCTTTTCGTTGTGTTTTCTTGCTGTAGTTTCTCCCCATGATTAGATAATTAAACAAATAAAACACTAAACAGGTTATATTTAGCAACTGTTACTTTGAAAATGTATAAAGACTTATGTAAATTCATTTTATTCTGCTTTAGATACTGAAGATGGAATCTGATAGAATTCCGAAACGTTTATGAATGAATTTGTTATTTTTTCCATAGGAGGAGTCTTATTGGAAAACAATCCGTGGGTGTGTGACTGTGACTTGATTTGGCTTTCTCGTTGGCTACGTAGGTGGATGCATGAGACACTTCGAGTTCAGATGTTCCATTTTGATGCGGCTTTGTATGTGTATAACTTAGCAAGACGAAGCACGTGTATAATGCCCGGGATAAACACTGAAATACCCATTATCGATTTAAAACCCGCGGATATAAACTGTTTAGAAAATGATCGCAACTTAGCGACGGAAATGGAACAACCTTTCCAAGTCACTTTTGTGATTTATGGATTGACATTTATACGTTGGTGTTCTCAGTATCTATCGTGATCTCGCTTAAAATGTCAAATAAGGTCTTGTTTTTTTTTTTTTGACTGTAACGAGTTCATACGTGTTATTGTTTCTGTCATTTCTCTTCAAAGTTTAAAAAGCAATAAAGTTTGAGTCTTTTGTTTTAACTTTTTTGTCGTTTTCTTTAATACCATTCGTCAGTGCTTCTTTAATATTTTTCTTCACGGCACATTTTTTACTGTTTTTTTTTTTCTAATTGTATTTGAAAATCTAGATTGGTTAAAAGGAGTGTAAAGCTGAGTAATTTCTTATTGTTGTCCCATTGGCATTTTCTCGAGCTCTTCAAATTCTTAAACTTTTTTTTTTAATATTAAACACCAAACCCTAATTTAACAGAAATTGATATATGTAGAACATTAGCATTTCTTAAACAACAAATGAAATAAAAACATAAAATAAAAGTTTAAAACTAAACCTCCTCTCTAACTGCAAAAAAAAACCAATTAAAAAGAATTAAATAAATTAAAATTATCTCTACTTTTAATTTTTATAATTTTTAGAACATCAGAAAATGTCTTGGTCGTTACGTGTCTTAAGTTGTTACTAATTATCTAAATAATTATTCCGACCTATAGATGCTGCAAAGTTTAGCTTTTATAGAAATAAGTTATAGTGAGATGACATATCCTAAAAAAAGGCCGATTTCTACAAAATGAAGATAGCACTGGCTTATTTTTAAATCAAACAATAGTCCGAAACAGCTCTAGGAAACCTTGCTTCTTGTATAAAATCGTGTCGAGAATATTTATTGATTTTCAAAGTGAGCATCGAATTATTTGAACGTTTTTTTTAATATATATACGTGTGTTTGATTAAGAGCAAAAACGATTTTGTTAAACTAGCCTTGGTCAACATGTTACTAACATAACTAACATACCAAAATGTGCAAATATTATCTATAAGTGAAACACTTTTTCTAACACGTCCTATGAAATAAAAATCTTCTTTCGTGAAATTCTTTAATGACGAACAAATATATTTCTATTATTTATATGTATTTTGTAGAAGTCAAGTATTCGCTTTACATCTACAGAGTATTTAGTTCCAAGAAATACTGCTAGAATTACATTTTTAACCAAAAAAAAATATTTGATTACTTTTGAGTTGGCCCATGAATCACCAGGAAAACAAATTGAAATCGAAAAGACTTCTAGAATGATCTATATATATATATATATTAAAAAAATACTGACATAAAGTTTAATGATTTATTGAGAACAACTGTTGATATTCTGTATCTCAAAAATCACAACTAAACAAATGTTCTCTTTGTACCTTCACCTAGATATAGAGGTTTTAATGAACTGATAAGTGTTAGTATCTAAGTAAAATAAATATGAAGAGAGATATATTCCTTGCGATTGCGTCACTTTATCAACAACAGGTTAAAACGTAGGTTCGATTGTGTTACTTCATGGACAATATATTACGACAAAGGGTCGACTCCACTGTTCCCCAGTGGCACAGCGGAATGTCTGTGGACTTAAACGTTGGAAACCGGGTTTCGATACTCGTGCTTAACTATAAACAAAACATCGATGCGTTACTTCATCAACAATAAATTAAAACACAGGTTTCGATTTAATTACAGCGTCTCTTATATTTCAAGAAATGTGTGTAAATTCTTAGGCACGACTACATTTTTATTTGTTTGTAGTTTTTATCACTGTAACGTGTTTAGCATGCTTACGAGTTTTATATGAATACAGATTTAATAAACATCAGCTGTCCTAAATGTTTCTTTTAGTGATGGATTACATTTTTAAAAACATATTATCTTCTCAATTATAGATGTTATCTAAAACCTGTTGATTTACCTAAAATAATGCAGCACTTGTTACAAAATTGAGATTCGAAAAATGTCACAACCAATTTATCCAAGAAAAAGTGGATCAGTGGTAAGTCGGATGACTTATAGTGCTAAAAACAGAGCTTCGATACCCGTGTTGTGCACAAGAGTAGAGAAATCTACCGTGGTAATTATCTATTGTTAGAAAACACACTGAAATAGTCGCAAAAAACAACGTACAGACAAAGTAGAACTCGAAAAATGATGAATCCTCAACATGGCAGTTTCCTAGTAATGCGCTATAAGTTGCACAAATTATTTTTCAATTCATGCGCATTAGTAAAATACCTGATTTTTTCGATGTCGGAAAGTGAAAGACTTAAAGAAATTATTCAAGGCGATAAAACGTTTTTTTTTTTTCTGTGGCGGCTTGTAAAACTATAACGAATAATAATAAGTTTGGAGACACTGTTATAAATATACACATTGTTTACTTTAATAAAACGAAGCGTTTCCGAATAGTATAAAACGGAGCGTTTCCGACTAGTAAAACAGTGCTTAAATGTCTTCTACATTTCTGTGAAGCTTGAATGGTTTCAAAGAGCTTATTTAGGTAGCGAAGAAGAACTTATAAAATTTTAGAGGGTGAAAATATCGACTTTCAAAAACCAACTTAAAAATAGTCCTACAACCTTTGCAGGAGTTTGTTTAGTAGCTGTGCAGAGATTTTGGCAAAGTATATCTTGCCGTTTTTGCTGTAGACTTCGGTACTTGAATGATTTCGAAGAGAAACTTGGCCATTAGCGATGAAAAACTGATACAATCTCTCCTTCTCTTTCTAGAATCAACATAAAGTAGTCATGGACCTGTGCAGGAGTTTTTTTAGTAGGTTTGTCCAGATTTGAATGACATATTCATAGCTGTTTTTTCTATAGGCTTGCGAAACAAGAATAATATGAATGATAATAATATTATGAAGAATAATTGGATGAATTTGGAATTTTGTCTAACAATCGGAATATCAACTTTTTTGCTATTATCAATATTTTAGCAACCTTAGCCATTGAGATAAAAGGTCTTGAGTGTTGTTTCAAGAACAGTTATGTTTTGAAGATGGTTTTTCCTCTATGTTCTATTAAAATATTTGTGAAATTCCTGGGCAAACCCTATTATGAACCACTATCGTGGCTCATGATATGTATATTTAAAATGTATTATGAATATCTTTCGGAATACTTTAGTTATTGCAAGTACAGAAGTATTTTGTTTTAAATATGCCAGTTCTCAGGCATTTTTATAACTAAAGTTTTTTTCAAGTTGTTGTGAACGAGAAAATGGATAATATGTCACCATAATAGTTAGTTTCGTGGGCAAAAGATGGCAGCACAATAGTAATCTTTTATATTCATGCAAAAATAGCTTGGAATTTTATTATAATTAAGTAAAAGCAATATGTTAAATATAAATTACCAAATCATTTACTTATTCTTAACTGTCAAAGAAAAGCGATTCAAGAAATTTAGATTACACTGAATATCGTTAATAAGATCATTGTAGTACGATCAATAATACAGGAAGGTCTGTTTATCTAACTTTTTATCACATTTCAGGGCTAATGATCTCCAATGCTTTATAGGCTTTTGGCATTTAATCTGTAACTTTGAAGGTCACAGTATGTGTTTGATAAGTTAGTTTTGTAACAAGCTCAGATAGAACTTAACCACGTTATTTGTGATTTCGTTATATCAGTCCCGGTTCCAATTTTTCTTAACTGAATGAACCGTATAAAAGGGCCAAATCTAAAATTAGATTAATGTACGGCATTAACTGGGGGTAATTGGGGGGGGCAAGGATATTTCAGTGAAACCGTCGTCCCCTCGCTGGCGCCGACCTGCACTATATTAGTTAAAATCTAAATACGTTTTTCTTGAATTATATGCATCACTAGCTACTCACTGTTTAACTAAACGAATTTGAAGACTTACTGTCAGTATAAATATATATTTTATATGTATCATAATAAAAAAAACAATGGTTGGATATTTTATTCAGTGTGGTTTAAATATAATAATAACATTTCCTGTTGGTTAAACGTAGGCAGAATTATTAATCCGTTTGCTTTCATACATAGTGGTTGGAAAATAAGATGGAACATCCTTTGAATGTGCGCCCTCTAGTAGCTCAGCGGCAAGTCTGCAGTCTTACAGCGCTAAAAATCGGGTTTGATTCAAGTGATCGACATAGCACAGATAACAATTGTGAATTTGAGCTTGACGACGACAAACCAAACCAAACCTTTTAATGTGAGCTTTCAGTCTTGAACTCTATATACTTAAAGAGGTGTTGAAAAAAGTACAGTGAATATCAGCATCAAAGCGTTTTTGTTATTAGAGAATTAGCAATGAAAAGAAAGAGAGGATTACTAATGTTTGAAGCTTAACTACCCGAGGAATGTATGTTTCCAATGCATCTTTCAGAGGCAAATGCTCGGGTGTGTTTTAAGCCTAAATGTCCAGGTGCGTTTTAAGCCTATATGCTCGGGTGTCTTTTACGCCTAAATGTCCGGGTGTGTTTTAAGCCTAAATGTCATAGCGATAAAGCATTTTCGGTAATCATGTGGTCAGCATGTATATGGAAAACAGTAAAACACTTTAAAGCGACACGTCGCTTGCAAATTGGATACCACTTCTATCTTAAGCAAGATTTAAAAAAAATCCCTAACACGTCTTACCACTTGTGTAATTATAGGTGATATATCATGTAACACGTGACTTAGTCAGCCTAGCTTATTGGCACTTTATTGATGTTTATATCATTTGATTTCGTCATTGTTTGTCAAATTCCTACAAATTCTACGATAACAAAAAAATAAAGGCGTATATATTAGTTGATAAGATAGAGTATAGGTGTGTCACTTTTTATTTGCATTTTACACTTTTCGTCATCCAGTCGCTGCTTCCATGACAAGGATTCGCTCTAAGTTTAATTCTTAAAAACCTCGGGTGCATTTAAAAACAAACTACTTCATGAAATGCTTGAAAACTTCAGACGAACTCTTTACAGATTACGTAGTATCTTCTCCAAATGAAATATCTGATTTCTATGTATGATTTCAAAATTCGAAAAAAATTCTTTGCTGTAGATTTTAATTAATTTTTTATTGTTTTCCTAAATTCATCTAAACCTTTCTTGTAAAATCTCTATTTTATAAAACTAAATTCTATATTTGTTTAGACTTGAAAAAAACACACAACAAAACAGAAGGTTTTATTTAGTATATGTACGTATTTAACTTTAAACCCGTTATATGTTCATACATATTTAAACAGAAGGTTTTATTTAGTATATGTACGTATTTAGCTTTAAACCCGTTTTATGCTCATACATGTTTAAACAGAAGGTTTTATTTAGTATATGTACGTATTTAGCTTTAAACCCGTTTTATGTTCATACATATTTAAACAGAAGGTTTTATTTAGTATATGTACGTATTTAGCTTTAAACCCGTTTTATGTTCATACATATTTAAACAGAAGGTTTTATTTAGTATATGTACGTATTTAGCTTTAAACCCGTTTTATGTTCATACATATTTAAACAGAAGGTTTTATTTAGTATATGTACGTATTTAGCTTTAAACCCGTTT